TACATACATTAACCCCGAGATCTAAAAGGAAACATTTTTTCTTCAATACAAAGTTTTATATTTCTCAAAATACTCAGCTATGCAAAGACTCTACCTGCTACTGGCCGTTCCTTTTGTTATTTTATATACAAATAATATTTTATAATCCCTCCCTCCATCTCGCTTCCCCTTTAACGGCAATAATAGGAGACATCTCAATTTTTCTTGGTCTGAATTCTAGAATCCCATCTTTCCCTTTAGTCCTCATTTTCCTGCCCTCTCTGGACCCTTTCTATTTTTGCTCTGCTTTCTCTGAAGTTATATGAGCAGCAACAGTGAAACACTTGAGTCAAGAACAGACTAATTTACATTCTCCAAAAACTGTCAATTTTTTTCCCAAAATCAACCTAAAATGCATTTTAATGTGTGTGTGTGTGCACGCACGCGAGCGCATTTTAACACCGTTGTCCTCTGAACAGATGCTGTAACGGAGCTTTGTGCTAACAGTACCTAATCTTTTTTCTTAAAAAGATGCAGCTAATTGGAAAGTCATCTATTTTCAAGAGCAGTTGATGTTATTCCTTCCAAAACACATTCCTCTGGCTTTGGCTCCCAATTAGGAAGATATGGCTTTTCCCAACAATCGAGGAAATGACTTGGTGGGTGAGGGTTATTAGAGTCTGTCACTGGCCTTACTCAAAGGGATAATAGAAAGCAAGGTTCCCTTTGAAGCCAGCCAGACACAAAGGCAGGCACAGTGATTTGTCTCTGAATTTTGGCATAATGTGCTAGTCAACAGGGGAGTAAAACTTTATTGCTCACATTTACAGAACATCAGTAACATTCACAGTATGGTTCAACAGTACCATTCCCACGCATTAACATGCTGGCAAGGGAATCCTTAATGGAATTCCAAGAGGAATTAAGAATGTTCTCTTTTGTGGCTCAACAAGGTTAATCTCAGCTAACTTCCAATAAACAGAAATTTATTGTGCTGATAAAGTTTTATTTTTCACTAAAAGGTTTGATCTATTTTTAGAAAAATACCCCTAAATAGAGCAATGCTGAACAAATGGGACTGCAGACTCAGCTTCTTCGATTTCATCTCCATGCCTGAGACCTCTCCTTGTGGCTCAATCCAATTAATACTTTTCCGCCCTTCACTTAAAACTCACACCTCCCTTGGCTTCCAGACATTACATCCCACCAACCTCCTGACTCTTCCCACCCCTTGAGTCATTCCACAGGGACAACTATCCCAATGCACACCCTTATCAGCTCCCCTCCCCATGCTCTGCATTGTTTCTTTTTCTCTCCCTGAAGTATCCTCTTCTCCACATGTGGCTTCAACCATCACCTATGTATTATACCCCTTTCTTGGGATGTCTCAAAGGCATCCTCAAACTCTCAGCATTTACAACCACAAACTCATAATACTCTGCATAAAGCCTGCTCTTCCATTTTCATCCCCTGTCATGGTGAAGAGCGACATTACACTCATCAGTCACTCAAGCCAAAATCCAGGGAGTAATACGCGGCTTCATCCTCCCTGAAAATCTTCCTATGTCGTCAGTCACCAATTCTACTGACTCTACTGCTTTATTATTTCTAAAGCCATTCCTCTCCTTTCATCCCACTTCACAATCTTAACTAGATTGACATCTTCGTACGGGAGCTACAAAGAGGTTTCTCAAATTCAGACTTGGTCTTGTCTCTCTCTCTTTCTCACAATGTTCCAGGAATTCCTTGCTGCCTTCAGGAAGCCTCCACAGCACAACATCAAGGTTCTTTGGTGAGTGTCAGGCCCGTGATCTCCTCTCCAATTGCATCTCACGACCCTGGCCCTTTACACTAACAGTGGGCATCTCCAAAGGCCTCTGTGCCCATGCAGGCTCCTCTTCCCCAGTCGGCAATGCCCGCTAACACTCACGCCACACCCCATTATCTGGCCTGGGGAAGGTCTACCAGATGGCTAAGTCTTATGAGGTACCTGTCCTATGTGCTAGGGCATATTCATGTCATACCAAAGCACTGTTCACATGAAATTACTATTCTTTCAATGTGAACATATTTGCCTTTCCCCCCAGATGGTGAATTCCTTGAGGTCAGAACCATGTCTTATTGGTCCTCCACTTGCAGTGCTTACTACAGCTCCTGGAATATAGAAAATGCCAAATTACCAAATTCATCAACGAATGCATGAATTAATGAATAAATTATCCACCTTATTCTCAAAGGAGAAATTCCACACCCTAACATCTGACTATGACAAGGGTAAAGGAAGATGGGACTACAGCAACATATTACCTTATCAGTAATTTGCTTGTGTTCATAGAATCAGGGACATGTAAAGGCCAATGAATGAGTCCCCAGCAAAATATATTGCTTATTAAGCTTCAGTGTTTTGAAACTTAGTCGTCTAAGATGTTGTGCTACTTGCTGCAACAATGAGAAAATGTGTTATCACTGTCCCTAAAAGCAAGATGTAGGAAAAGTAAATGCAGAGGGACGTTCGATCTTGGATATACGTCATTCCCAGAACGATCACAACTCTCCCGCCCCAGCTTAGGACAGCTGAGGCTGCGGTCTCAGCCCGACCTGGATCGGTCAGCCAGCAACGGCCTTCACATACCCACCTGCTCATCCCAAACCTTCTTCCCTGCTTTGGAAATGTGGTATCAGCGAGAGAAGTGACTTGGAGAAACCAGATGGCAAATGGAGAGTAGTAAGTCCCGTGGGACCCTACCAGCTTTGAAGAGTTCCCTTATAAAAATTTTCTCAGGAAAACCCCCAAGAGACTGTTTCTCCCATCTCCTCCACTCTCCTTTTCCCGTACTCTTTTCTTTCATCTCATTTGTTCATGCCCCTCGGCTCCTCCTCCTGTGATCCCTAAATCTGCATGTCCACCTCAGCCTCTGAAGGTCTCGCTTTGTGTTTCTGTCAAAAGAAACCAAACTCCTCCAACTGAGGACACAAAAAAGGCCAAAAAGGTAGAAACCTTCTCTAGTACCAGTGAGATTTTCCTGACAAGGTCTCATATAGAAAGAGGATCTCAAAGGAACTGTGATATCATAAAGGGCAGGAGTTGAAAGGGGACAGTGGTTAAGCACCCAAACCAGTGACAATCACCCACAACCGGGTGGGATCCCGAAACCACCCACTGGCGTCTGGGCCCATTTCTATAAGGCATAGTTATTTACCACTCAGGCGGGCAGCACCCACCCTACTTAAATTCTCTGAGGCATCTGTCACTATTAACTTCCCTCCCCCCTCCTCCACATGTCGGCCAGCCTCTCTCCCGTCCTGGGCCCCGGACATCACTCCCTCTCAGGTGTCCTTAAGTCCTTCTTAGCTCCCTGCGTGGTGCCATCTCCTCCAGCTGTACTGAGGTTTGGCAATCAGCCGACTGTCCTGTCTCCTCCTCAACTTGAGCTCAACTCATCATCAAATCCATTTCTTCTCCTCCCTGGACATGAATCCTGAATCCACTTCCCAGCTCAGCAGGGAGTCTGCTTAAGACTCTCTCTCCCTCTGCCCCTCCCCTGAGTTGGCAGGTGCACGCACCCGTGCTCGCGCGCTCTCTCTCTCTAAAATAAATAAATAAATCTTTAAAAATAAATAAATAAATCTCTTCTGTGAGAGGTCACTGGAATGTTGATGTTTATTTGTTACAGCAGCTACCATCTTTGTGGTTAAAATCCAAACCCATAATTATTAGTCCAAACTTCTATCCCTAACATTAGACTCCAAATTTCTAATTTCTTTCCTCTCCTTTACCAGACTTACTCCTAACGTTTTCCAGGAATTACTCCCAGTCCCACCCAGGACAGGTTGGGTTTCTTTCCTATGTGTGTCTGGAGCACCTTACTTTTCACAATCAACACAACCGTCTCTATGATTGTCTGCCTCTTCTACTCTATGGGAAACATTTTGAGGGTAAAGACTGTGTTTTAATCTCTATATTCCTGTGTGTCTGCTTGGCATTCAGGAATAGTTTAAGAACATAGGGATAAATGAATAAATAAGGGATTTGTCATATATTAAAAATACGAAAGCCTAAAGGTGGTGTGATCAAAGTCTGTAAAAGGATGGAGAAGCTAAATTGGGAAGTTTTAAAATTAATCCTTAGAAAAAGAAAAAGAAGACGAAACTGTTAAAAGTTGAAAGGGTTCTGAAGATTTAAGGACAAGCAAAGGAAGGCTTTACTGAGTAGTTAATACACTTAAAGTTCTTAGAAAGTGATAGGAGATGTAATAAAAATTTGTAAAAAGTCACTAAAGGAAACTTCATTTTGTTTGGAGTACAGCCTAAGCCTTCTGAGGTTGATCATGAAGGAAAAAATACAGCCTTTTAGAACACATCCCTGAGAGCTCCCTGGAGGACAGGAGACATTTAAAGCATCTCTTCTGAAATAATATCAAAAATCATTATTTAAACACATTATAATGATGTTGCCTCATGTTCCACCAGCATGACAGTTCAACTCAGTGCCCCCACCCACTGTGCATCAGCATTTAGAGCACCTATGCAAAGCCCAAGGTGAGAAGCAGGTGACCAGAAGTGGAGCTAGAGAACAATCTAGCTCTTCCCAGAGCATTCTTTTTACCTCCTTCACCCTTCTGCTTACAGAACTTTTCCTGTGCAAGCCAAGGAAGAAGTATTACAAAGCCCACATGACTCACAGAAATAAGCAACATTTTCACTTCCAAGACCTTTCTCCTCTCCAGTCCTGGGGAATCCCACACAAAGAAATAACTAATCAAAAGTCTGACTATTTCAGTGACTTGTATTTACTCTATAAAAACTAACTTTTAAAATACAGATCATAAACGATAGCTGGGTTTTATTCATCCCTGACCTTTCAATTGCTTTCACTGGTTCAAGACATCTAACTTTCATCTGCAAAGATGTGACTGATCTAAAGGAAGACAAAACATAAAACAGACATTTCCCTTTTACAGAAGTAATATTTAACCTTTAACTCAGAACTTCTTCTGAAAGATTTAAAGTGCTGTACTCACCTGCAGCTGAGATATAGTTAAAGGGTATCGGAATAATATCCAGGTAACACCTTCGCTGCAAGGTGGAATGGTAAGAGAGCCTTCATACACCCAATAATCCCGCAGCAAAGGATCTGTGCAACCGGGTGGACACGTCACAAAACAGTAAATTAATTAATAATTTTGAAGATGCCAACAATAATTTGCAAAATTACAAACTGCCTATAAACAACACTTTTCAGAATGAGTCATTTTAAACTACAGCCTCACACATGCATTCTTAAACTAATCATCACAGAGAAAATAACCAATGGGAAAATATGATGAGCCCTCTTCCTAGTATTTATAGTGATTTCTATCCATGTTATCACTATATAAGCCAAAGATGGCTATCCACACTTGATATATACATATATGTGTGTATGTACAGATCCAGTTTAGTCACTTTAGAAGAAGTGTATCTGTGTTGTTTTTTACTTTATTGAAGGATTTACCTGACTTACTCATCACCTAACCCAATACCAACTAAATGTGAGGCACTATTCTAAGCATTTCACATGAACTCATTTAACCCTCACAACAAACCAATGAGACAGGTACTATTATGGTACTATTATTAGCCCCATTTTTCAGATGGGGAAACTGAACCACAGAGGGTTACATAATTTGCCCAAGGTAACCCAGCTAATAACTGGCAGAGCCAGATTCAAAACCAAGCAGTCTGACTTCAAAGACTGTGTTTTTAAACATTCTGTTTTAGCCCTCTCTATACATCTCCCTCAACACCAAAACATGAAGTCCTATTATGACAGGACAAAACAAATCATTCCTATGTAATCTTTTAGTTCTGCATTAGAAGAACTCTCGATCAAATATGGTGGATAAATGTTCAACACATGGCAAAATCTGGTTTGTTGTAAAGCAATTAAATGTAGGCCGTAGATGATACATACAGTGCATCAACCTATTTGGTTTTGTTTAAAACACTAAAAAGCAGGGGCGCCTGCGTGGCTCAGACGTTAAGCGTCTGCCTTCGGCTCAGGTCGTGATCCCAGGGTCCTGGGATCGAGCCCCGCATCGGGCTCCCTGCTCCGTGGGAAGCCTGCTTCTCCCTCTCCCACTCCCCCTGCTTGTGTTCCCTCTCTCTGTGTGTCTCTCTCTGTCAAATAAATAAATGAAATCTTTTAAAAATAAATAAATAAATAAAACACTAAGAAACAGCATATAATTTAGGCAGAGAAATGTGAAGACCAAAATTTTGTACAAAACAACCTTTAACTACAAACTATGTTTTGAGTATTTTATACCCAATTCTTACCTGTGTAGGTATACCTAAATAATTAGAGTAACATCTATATGATAGTAGCACTGCAAAGAGTTTACCTTATAAAATTAGATACAAAACTTAATTCACTCTAGAGATTAGTAAGAACCTCACTGACCAATCCTAGACGTATATCAAAGTTATGTTATTATGCTCATGCTTTACACAGAGGTAGCAATTTTTGCAAATGAAAATCCAACGGAAACTCTTCAGAGAATGATGGAAAAAGGGACAAAATGTTTATTATTTCAAAAGGTTTACTCCCATGTGTAGAGCAGTCTGAAACTGCTACCTACTACAGAGAATATAAATTGTAAAGAAACTTTATTAACTAATAACATATAGCTATATGTATTGGGAGGTAAACAAGGCAATCATATTCACACACTTAAAATTCACCTGATGAGATCAAGATTAACACCCACCTGGTAATAAAGTGTTAGGATTGAAGCAGGGTATTGTTTTGGACTTCCCCTGAAAAAGAAAAGAATTCACCATATGTTATCATAAGACCCCTAAATTTTATTATTTTTTTTTTTTTTTAAGATTTTATTTATTTGACAGAGAGAGACACACAAGAAGATGGCTGCCTGCAATCCAGGAAGTGGGTCCTCACCAGACGTCAGTTCTACCAGCCTCTTGATCTTGGATCGCTCAACCTCCAGAACTGTGAGATAAATGTCCTGTAAGCCACCCCATCAGTAGTCGTTTGTTATAATGGCCCACTTTGACTAAGCTCCTGAAAAAATGTCTCCCTCCCATTCTTCTCTTTTTTTTTTTTAAAGATTTTATTTATTTATTTGACAGAGAGAGACACAGTGAGAGAGCGAACACAAGCAGGGGGAGTGGGAGAGAGAGAAGCAGGCTTCCCGCTGAACAGGGAGCCCGATGCGGGGCTCGATCCCAGGACCCTGGGATCATGACCTGAGCTGAAGGCAGCCGCTTAACCAACTGAGACACCCAGGCGCCCCAAGACTCCTCAATTTTAGAATAAAAAAATTGTTAGCACTGAAAACGCAGGTTGACATCTTTCCCAAACGGCACCCCAGACCGCCACAGATGTGGCTCTGTCTCACTCTGTCTTCTCATCGGAGCCACATCGGCTGATTCCAACAAGGCACTCCCGCTCTGAGTCCATGGCTATTTCTTTGCGACCACAGTTCAATTTCCCCTATAATTTCAGAGTGAAACTTACAACTGTCTGTCCAGTGTCTGTCTGTCCCACTTTTCCTGCTCCTAGCACATCCAACACCAGAGAGTTGGGCTTTGGTGTAAAATGCCTGTACCCTGGTTGGTTCAGAGAATGCTTTTGAAATGACCTTCCCCCTGCTACTCGGACCTCAGCTCCTAACCTTTTCGGCATTACAACCTGCCTCCTAAATTCTCATTTTGTTTCATTTGCATTTGGTAACTTGTCTCTAGGATCTATTGTAGATGCTCTCTTCCTACAGAGAGGGAAAACTAACACCTGAATGAAAATATTCCAATTCTATGGGCGCCTGGGTGGCTCAGTTGGTTAAACGTCTGACTCGGTTTCAGTTCAGGTCATGGTCTCAGGGTCCTGAGATCGAGCCCTGAGACAGGCTCTGCATTCAGCATGGAGTCTGCTTGAGATTCTCTCTCCCTCTCCCCCCTCCAGCTTGTGCTATCTCTCTCAAATAAATAAATCTTTAAAAAAAAATTCAATTCTAAGCAACTTTTATCAAAGTTGTATTTAAATTTCAATAAAATTAAAATAAAGAATTTCACTAAAATATCTGTGCCATTGTTCAACAGTCACAATTGCAATCACTATTTTAAATAGTGCCACTTAAATTGCTCAGGCCCTAGAGGCAAACAGACCTGTCCCAGCAGTTGGAGGTCTCTTGTAAGATGACTCTATCAATGCAGACAGAACAGGGCAAGTTAATGTGTAACCTCTTAGTCTCTTCCTTACTTCTAGGAACTATTTGACACAATAAAGAATCCAGCTTACCTGCTTCCCACCAGCCCCCTGTATTCCACAAAGACGGATGTTGTATGAGCTGAAGCAATAAAAGAAAATTTCTCAACCCGTTTCCATTGGACAAATGTCAGTCAAAATGTGTCCTTCCCTCTTCCTACCAGCTTTTTGACTAGTCTGTGCCTTCCCTTGGTAGCTGGATTCATTCTAAGCCTGCTCAGGAAATCTACGGTAAATGTTTTTGCCTAGTCCAAGATGCCCTGGGTTTGCGCTGGCCTAGAGCTAATCAGACTTCATTCTCAGATTGATTTTTGGATCGGCCTTGGGTCTCTGAATCTCTATGCTGTATCTGCAGTAGCCATCCAGGATTAAACTACTGCCCTCCAAGGCCACTCAGATTCAATCGATTCAACGTGAGCGTAAAAGGTACTGGTTATGACAGAACTTGGCTTCCCAGCAAAGGTGGGCTGAAGCACTACAGAGTCGTATCAAACTAAATCACCTTCTCTGAGATATGTGATCTTACAGCTTATGTGTACTTGCCTTTCTTCTTTTTTTAACATAAATGCTTTGAAGTATAGTCGCCATAATTTTTGTGTCATTTACACAACTTTCCTACAACCAATGAGCGGAAAGGGTTAACTCAGCAGGCCTGGGTTGCTCAAAAAGCTGCCTGTCTTGAGGACTGGCCTTGATCGGCTCTGAGGTCTTGGGATATTCTGCCTGGTATAAGAGTGGTTTTGTATGCCTGAGGCCTCGGGCCATGCTGTACCAGTTGGACCGCATCAGTTTACCCCGACAATGTGATTTGTGACGAAGGCTTGGTTGGGCTGGGGCTGGGGCTGGGGCTGGGGCTAGAAAGGATGGAGGCAGGGTAGCGGAGGTCAGTTACACAGACACTGCATGCTCACATAACTGACCCCTCATAAAATCCCTATACACAAAGGCTCAGCTAGGCTTCCCTGGTTGGTCACACTTCACACACGTTGTGGCACATCGCTGCCGAAAGATTTAGGTTCATCCCCACGTGATTCCACTGGGAGGGCGCAGCTGGAAGCTTGTGCCTGGTTTCTCCTGGACTTGGCCCCACAAACCTTTGCATTGTCCTCGTTTTTGATCTGTAGCCTTCCTCTGTCATAAACCACAACCATGAGAATAACAGCTACTCTGTGAGTCCTTGGAGCGAATCATCAAATCTGAGAGTGGTCTTGGGGTCTGCTTTCATAACCAGTATTTTTATTTTCTTTTAAATAAAAACTTACCTTGTACTGGATATCCTGGAGGATTTCAGTCACAGCCTTCAAGCCTACGTGCTCTTTTCCTATCTGCAATACACAAAGCATAAACCATACCACAACCATCTTTAAATACTTTGCTTTCCTCCAAAAGAACTAACAGAAAGTGAAGCTCAAGTCTACCCGAATTTCCTTCTCAGGGAATAAGTAAAATACCTTTTCAATAATAACCAGGTCAACATGTACATAGAGAAATTAAAGTTGTAAGAGAGGCTAGTACAGAAGTATTAGTTCTTGGGGCGCCTGGGTGACTCAGTCGGTTAAGCGTCTGCCTTCGGCTCAGGTCATGATCCCAGGGTCCTAGGGTCGAGCCCCGCACTGGGCTCCTTGCTCGGCGGGAAGCCTGCTTCTCCCTCTCCCACTCCCCGTGCTTGTGTTCCCTGTCTCACTGTGTCTCGGTCAAATAAATAAAATTAAAAAAAAAAAAAAAAAAAAAAACTTAGCTCTTAGACATTTTAAAGAATTCATTCTAAATTCATCTTGCTGTGTACAGATTATCACCCACTGTGCTATCTGCGGTCGACCCCTGAACACTGACCCCTGTGCTGTTGAAAATCGCGTATAATGTTTGACTCCCCCAAAAACTAAACTACTAATAGCCTACTGTTGACCAGAAGCCTTACTGATAACAATAGTCAATTAACATGTATTTTGAATGTGACATGCATCATATGCTCTATTCTCACAATAAAATAAGCTAGAGAAAAGAAAATGTTATTAGGAAAATCATAAGAAGGAGAAAATACATTTACAGTACTGTAAAAAATCCATGTATAAGTGGACCCATGTAGTTCAAAGTCATGTTTGTTCAAGGGCCAACTATATCAAATGATAGAATACTGCAATATAAACATTTCAAGGATATTTCTGAATTAAAATTGCTCATTACATTCCAAACCCTTTCATTTTTGCCTCTGGCATTCTAGATCATTGTTATAAGATTGTACCGATGCTGGGGATGCCTGGGTGGCTCAGTCAGTTAAGCGTCTGCCTTCGGCTCGGGTCATGATCCCAGGGTCCTGGGATCGAGCCCTGCTGCATCGGGCTCCCTGCTCAGCGGGGAGCCTGCTTTTCCCTCTCCCTCTGCCCCTCTCCCCACCGCCCCCCACTCAGGCTCACTCTCTCCCAAATAAATAAATAAAACCTTTTTAAAAAAGACTGGACATAATTGTATAATCACCATTTTATTCTTAAATACATCAGAATATGCTGTTCACAGATTTCTACTTTAAAACACTATATATCATTACACATTTTTAGTGTAAAAAATGCTCCAAAGAATGTGAGGTTTCAAAAGAAATTTGACATTAAGTATTCTTGACTTTAACTTTAAAAATTATGAACACCATCTGATTTCCACTTTTCAACCGGGTTTCAATGGTCCATGATAATGGAGGACAGTAACGACAGGAGGTAATTTAAAATCTGAGATAAAGAATGTTATCATTTGCTTTTTCTCTTCCGCACAAATTTGCGCAGGATGACCTACAGGAGCTCGAAAAGCTGTCAACATGTCCACGTTCCCTGTTTCTCTCCCCGTGTACCACGTGTGAAATATGCCAGGTGAAAGGGCATCAGAAAGCAAAGAAAAGAGACAAGACACTTACATAATCTAAGATAGGCCAATCGGTTCAAAAGAGTCAAGACTTCAACTCTTTCCCAAGTGTCTGCCCTTCCTCAGACAGGCTTTAAAGATGCAAAATGAATTCTCTAAAGTTAAGAAAATAATACTTCAGGCAAGCGCACGCATAGTGCAGAAGCCTGGGCCCGATCTTCGGGGCATCCGACCTCCCTTCGCTGTACTGGTTTAACCGTGAGGTAGCATTTGGAGGACTACGCCTCCGTTGGTTGTTTTCCTTTCATGCATCTCCCGTCAGATTGTAACTCTTTGAAGAGTCCTTATCTGAATGCTGTAAGGCCACAGACTGTAGTGGTTCAGGAGCAAGGCCGCTTATGCTGGAGGCCAGCTTCTGGTCCTGTTTTTAGCCGTAAGCAAGTTTACTTAACCTCCCTGTCCTTCAGCTGCCTCATCTATCTGGTGGGCGAGGGTCGGGGAGGGAGGATAAAAGTGATCGGGTTGAAGAGAAGACCACAGCAAAGACCTCAGAAGAGGACATGAACCAGCCTCATTCAATTAGTATCACCCATTATTATCCTTACTCAGAATGCCAAACAGCATCAAATACAGTTTTTACATATATTAGCACTTAACTCTCACGGGCTCCTCCTTCCATAAAGATTCCGTACTTTAGGGGCAAGAGTTTTAAATCTGCAACAAACTCCGGCTATTACTCCATCTCTTCCCTTTCCTCCTTTGCCAGATTTCTGTAGGAAGAGGTGATAACCACCAAACAGCAAGTACAGACGCTATTCTGCACAGCCGAGGCCCCCAAAGCCTAGAGCAGTCCAGGTGACAACACAGCCTGGTGCCAGGAGTCCGCCAAGAACCACGAGACCCATTACCTCCTTACCTCTCACCATCCAAAAGGCAACCCATCAGCCCTGCCCGGCCCTGGCCCTGTGCTCTTCCACTTCTCACTCTAACCTCACCTCATTTTTGCTGTGCCCTCCGCAACAGGGTGCCAGCGCCTGCTGGTCTGTGTGAACCCCTCAGGGCTGCTCAAGGCCCAGCTCTCCCAGGCCTTCCGAGGGGACGCTGCGCAGTCTCCCCCAGAGACAGGGCTGAAAGCTGTGCTCAGTGCCCTGCGGGTACCCTCCAATGCATACTCTGACCCACAGGCACAAGGCCGTCCTCCTCGGAGTGGACCATCCTCCTCAGATCCTGCCATGCTCTACTTGTGGTGAAGTTCAACTGTCGCCAAGTTTTTTAAAAAACGACCCACTGACCACTCCCCCATCATCATCACCTCCTGCCGCCACTACGGAGGACTTCAACTCCCTGGAATGCATCTTCACCCCTCAGCCCATGGCTATCAGCCCCCTTCCACCTCAGCACCCATCCTGAGAACATTCCCTGAATTTGTTTTCACTCCGAAAACTTCAGCTCTGAAGACCATTCCCTCTGACCACAGCTTCTCATCCATGCAGCTCTTTTTTTTTTTTTTTTTTTTTAAGATTTTATTTTTTATTTGACACAGAGAGAGACAGCAAGAGGGAACACAAGCAGGGGGAAGTGGGAGAGGGAGAAGCAGGCTCCCCACGGAGCAGGGAGCCCGACGTGGGGCTCGATCCCAGGACCCCGGGATCATGACCTGGGCCGAAGGCAGACGCGTAACGACTGAGCCCCCCAGGCGCCCCCTCATCCATGCAGCTCTTACCCTCTCTTCTCCCTCTCCCCATTCACTGATCTGAGGAGCCACGGCTCCCAGGAGCCTCTTAGCTTTGTCTCCTTCCCTTCCTACCTAGTGAATGATACCTCTCCAACCATCCTCAATTCTCTAATCCCTGTGTCCCCCTAAATCATCTGCTCTGCAAAGAGATCAATGCAACAATTTGTGAGAATTTCCTACTCTTCTACTTGAATAGAGAACAATCCACAAGATCTTGTCCCACACCATCTATGATGTTCAGTCATAAGTGGGTCTCCCACACTGACTGTCAAGTCTATTATCATTCCCCTCCCGGGTTATTTCAAAACACAGTCCCACACCCATGCTTCCCTTGCTCTAGAAATAATTCTGCTTGGTATGTCTCAGAGATAATGAAGGTCATCAGGCATGAGCTGCTCTAACTTCCTGCCCTTCTTCACCTTTAAATCCATCCCATTTCTACCCACTCTTTCTTCCTGACCCTCTGTTTTGGAGAAAGGGTGGGTGCCCCCTGGTCTCCGAGGTTAGTCTATCCACAAAAGCTCTCCATCCTGCATCCTCTTGTCTCCTCCTCTTATACATCAAGTATCCCTTTTTTTACCAGTATTTTTAAACTCTGCATCTGCACTAGTGGCTTTTTGCTCAGAATAAAAATACAGGCAGATCGCAGATCTTGAAATGAAACAAAGACAACATTCCTATACATCAGCACGAGTTATTACCCCATCTGTCTTTCTTTTCTTGAGCCACGCTGCTTGAAAGGGAAACCTACGCTCACTGCCTGTGCTGACCCCCTCCCATTTTCCCACTCCTCCTGCCGAAGTGTGAGAGCCCCAGATGGACTTCAGTCCCTCTCCTCTCTGCTTCGGTGGACACTCCCCATCAGTCCTTCTTTCCTTCACAAAATTCTGCTTTCAGTCTTTCTGTAACTTTACTCTCTCCTAGATAACCAGAATCTCTCCTCACAGCAAACTCAGGGCGAGTTAGAACCAGTGCACATGCTCACAGGCTTCCCCAGGCCTACAACAATGAGCTTCTTCCTGGAAGACTGATGCTGGTTCCCAGAGTCCTGCCTTTCAGCCTAGTGCTCTATTAGTCCATGCCACCTGTCCTATGCTAAGGATCAGTAAGTGGAAATATTCTCATATTTAACTCCATTCACAAATATTTGTTGAATACCAACTCCAGAGATGAAACAAACATGCTTACTTCCCTTCTAGAAATGACTGCTCAGGTATTTGTATTATTTTATTTCATTATTTTTTAATAACAAGACACTGCCTTCTACTTCTATTGCCTCAACTTCTCAAATTTGGGTGCTTTATTAACTTTTTCAGGTTACAAAAATGGACTTCAATAGTTACTACTTTAGTACATTCAAGATTATCAAAACATTTTTACCGACACCTTGATACCGTAATTTTATTCTACTTATACAATGCAGTTACAAAACAGAAGAAATACAGGGCCCTACCTGTAAAAAAACAAAAAACAAAAAACAAAACAAAAAAAACCATGAAGTAAACAGTAAGAAGGTTCATTTGAAACTATAAGAATTTGCTTTTAAATTCTATGACATGTGTCATACTTTCAAGATACTGATTTTTAAAATATTAAAAGGCTAAAGCCAGATGGCTGCTTCCAAATATCAACAAATACCTGAGAGAGAAATTTATAATGGAAAACTGTTGTGCTTAATAATACTATTGAAATATATACGACACAAAAAAGAGGCAGGTTTATGAAGGCCCCGCTCTCTTCGGAAAATTAAGTTACTAACGATCACTGGGCTAATATGACGCTCTAGTACCACATTCTCCAAGAGGCAGCGTGGAACCACGCAGAACTGCAGTTACAGCAATGGTTTCTGGTCTTGACGGTGACACCAAATCTGTGTGTGTCTGTGACCAGTGACTGACCTCTCTGGCCCCTGGTTTCTCTTCTGTAGGATGGGGAAGGAGAGAGCAGGGTCTCTTCTACCTCTTAATCTTTTAGGACATCCAACAGATGACGAGACAAAGTTAAAAAGATCCACGGGGGAGAACTAGATTAAATTTTTACTTTTGGAAGTATGTAGTCTGAAATTAATTTAATTAATATCCTGTGCCCACCACAAGCTCAAATCTAAACTTTATATTGACTGTATCCACCAAGATCTTCACCAGTCTTATTTCATCAGTGTTTTTCTATCGGACACTTCAAATCATCTTGGACTGAAAATTATTAATAACAAAGAGCTAAAAGAGTCTACTACATGATTACATTATTGATTTTTCTTCGATTTCACAGCAAGCCAGGGTCCAAAAACATTTTCTAAAATCCTTTTTCATTAATAAAATGAACTTTGTCTTCAGGAGACATCTTCGACATCATTTCTCCAAAGACCCTGAAGGCCAGTTGGAAGAAAAGGTCTACTGACTAACTGAACCATTTTCTACCAATGAATATGGCTGCCCTCTTACGAGCCAGAAAGATCCAAGTGTTCTCTTTTCAAATTACATGTGTTCTCCGCACAGGAGTTTAAAAAGTAATAAAACTGAGAGAGCACACAAAATATTCTGCAAAGGAATCAGAAATAAGCATCCCTGAACAATACAACAGTCACAGCAGGGGACGATTTACCTGAACAAACAAAGCAATGATGGCAATGCCATGTGGCTTCCCCACGGCCTCATCAATACTGCCAAACAGGGTGGAGTTCCAGTGGATCAGATGGAGCTGGGTAAACAACAGACAGGTCGCCTCGTTATTAATGCATTTCTAGTGAGAACCACAAAGATAGACCAACTTCTCCTTAATTGTTATCTGTTACATCTCTATGGTACCACATGCAACAAAAGTATCCCAAATAGGCACACACAGACCACTTCTTTAATCCAGGTCCTCTGTAGGAGTTCCTTTCTTATTTCTGAACAGAGGCAACGCTCAGTGGGTCGCGGCCTCTTGAGTTCCGCTTTAGTGCTAATCAGAAGCACATCTAAGGACACTGGCAGACTGCACATTGATTTAATTGCTTTTCCTTAAATGCCATCCCCTCTGGTTCTCGAGAGGACAAAACTTCGGGTCTAGGCACAAACACCAGCACTCATTCCAGGTATCAGTACCTGCAAAATCACATACTGTGTCACCTGGTATTTCCATCAAAAATAAGACAAAGCCAGCCTCAAATTCTGGTAAATTATTTCAGCTCTCTAAGGATATACAGAGCTAGGACCCTGTAATGCTGCATCTTCTGAAAGTCATGGTACTATAATGAATGTTGACGTAGAGCTCTAAAAGAAGGCCATTTCCTGCACCGGAGATAAAATTTTATCTATGAAGGAATGACAAACAATGCTCTGGAGGACTCCCTCACTCCTGGCTTCATAAAGCTTTGTAGCTTTCAAGTTTATCTAGAATATGCACTTGCTCCTACACCACTGATAAAACCCTTGCAAGAAGTCAAATTCAATTCCCTGGTTAAAATCAAATGCCCACTGAGGTTCTTAGTAAAACAGTAGCTAGGTAAACCTTCTGCCCAGAAGGCTATCTTCATCACTATAGTTTTTAATCAAGTTATAATTACTTACCACGTTAAAACACTGCCTCGTTTAAAAATCGGTTCTAATCCAAAAGGACAGAGCTAAAATTCAATCACGATGTCATTTCAGCATCCATATTAAAATGTGAAGGCAAATCATCCCGAGAATAGTCACCGATTTGCTTTTTCTACCAGCTGAGTCTGTCCTAAGTAGAATTCAAGATTATAAAGCTGACCGCTAGAGGGAGGTAATGAAGTCCTCTGCCTATAATAGAAACCGGAACCTAGAAAAAGACCCCATGCAAGGCCAAGCTAGGACAGGCCATGAAAAAGCAACATGGACCGCGACTGCCCAGTAAATGCAACTATCGAGGCACTGCCTTTAAGAAAACAATGCTCTATAACGTTTCAATTAATAATGAAAGACAGCCCAATCTTAATCTTTCCTCTTCCGGCTCCAACAAGAGCTGGAGTCCCAGTGGCACAGTAAGTGTACCGCGAACAGATAAGAACCCATTGCCTTAATTAAATAAACAAAGAAGGCTCAAGGTTGAAAGCTATTTTTATTCGGCAAATCACAAAGTTCAAATGAACGTTTTTCTTACTTCTCATAGCAACATTACAGAGTATTTTTTCTGAAACAAAACAAGCCAAAAATAAATAAATAAATAAAGCCTGGTTTCTCTTTGTGTTTCGCCTTGCCACTCCTTATAACTCAGCAACATCATGTACTCACAGGTGATCTTCAACACCTGCTCCACGGTCTTTTTGTGTTTTAAAAATTGAGGGTCCCCATGCCGTAAGTGGATGCTGCACAAGGTGACTTTGTTTCAGAGAGTGAGTTTACAGTGAAGAAACAGGACAAATGCCACCTGGACCAGGGGAGCAAGGTGAGCATCCACAGTCATCAGTCATGTTGACAGTGTGCACCCTGGACAGGATGTGCTGAAAACGACATGTTACCCCCGTGGTCTTCCCCCCAGTAACCTATAACCCCAGTCTAATCATGAAGAAAACATCACAGGGATCTCAGCAGAGGGACAGTCTACAAAATACCTGACCGGTACTCCTCAGAACTGTCAAGGTCAACAGAAACCAAGAAAGCCTAAGAAAATGTCAGTGACAAAAGGGGCCTAAGGAGACATAAGAACTAAATGTAACATAGTATCATAGGTGAGCTCTTAGAACACAGAAAAGTTAATTTAAAACTAAGGAAACTGAATAAAATTCAGACTTCATGTATAGATTTCAGTCCACTAATTCTAACAAATATAACATGCTAAGGTAAGATGTTAGTAACAGGGAAACTAGGTATGGATTATATGGGAACTTCCTGGACTATCTCCACAATCTTCTATAAATCTAAGTGCTCTAAAAAAAAGGGAAATGTTGGCACCTCAGCCAACCCAAGCTAAAAAAGGGTAATCGGAAGATCGCTAAGACTCTTGTGTGACTAGCACATAACACAGAATGAACTAACCAGAGAACCTCTACCACCTGTTGCTCATTCTACCATCTGGGTCTTAGCAGGTCAGTGGCAGAAGAGATTTTTCCCTCACAATCAACAAGGGACCCAAGACTGGGAAACACAGTCCTATTCCCGTACTTACTGGAAACCCTCTTCACTTGGAGGCTCTTGCTCTCACTTTAAAACCAAACATCATTAGAGATCCTCTTTCCATACCTTTAGAACGTGGTTAATTCAAGGACCAGGCAAATTTCCAACACATTCTGGAAATCAGCTATAACCCAGCAGTAGTAACTTAGCTGCATGACCCATGAACATAACGCTCCACATTTCTGCTGTCTCTCCGCTTCGGCTCACTCTGTGCTCCCCGAGGCCTTCCTCACTCCACCTGCATTAGTGTGCTAGGGCCGCCATAACAAAGCCCCACAGACTGGGTGGCGCAAACAACAGAAATGTATCTTCTCGAAGTTCTGGAGGCTGAAAGTCCAAGATCAAAGTGTCAGCAGGCTTGGTTTCTTCCAAGGACGATTTCTTCGTCTTGTAGATGCCTACCTTCTCCCTGTCACCTCACATCATCTTTCCCCTGTGTGTGTCTGTGTCCAAATTTCCTCTTCTTATATAAAGATACCAGTCATACTGGATGAGGGCCCACCCGAACCACCTCATTTTTAGCCTAATTACCTCTATAAAGATCCTGTCTCCAAATATGGTCACATCCTGATGTGGCAGGAGTTAAGACCTCAACATATGAATGGGGGAGGGGAGGCACAATTCAGCCCATCACACTATCCAGCACACCCTTTCCTCTCTCCCCACCTTAATGAAAGTTTTTTCAGATCTCGAAAGCTTGAATTATCTGTATCGACTTCTGCTCTCCTATAGCCCCCTCCTTATTTTTGCCTCGTATTAGTCTTGATTGTATCTCATAAAGCAAAGCCATAGTGATGGGAAATTACCAGTGTATACGAAGAACTAAAAGTATCACTGAGGGTAGCTAGATATGTACGTCTGACTGTGACAGGAAAGATGAGGCTGCAAGTTAGAGGGGTTCGAGTGGCACGGAACTTTAAATTTTATAACTGTATTTTGGGGAACACTAAAAAATATATTAGCACAGTGACTATTATTATTACTTATGCTGCTTAGACTCAAATTTGCCCGTGCCAGTGTCCGTCCTTCTAAAGTCCCATGGCGGGGCGCCTGGATGGCTCAGAAGGTTAAGCGTCTGCCTTCGGCTCAGGTCATAATCCTAGGGTCCTGGGATCGAGCCCCGCATCAGGCTCCCTGCTCCGCGGGAGGTCTGCTTCTCCCTCTCCCACGCCCCCTGCTTGTGTTCCCTCTCGCTGTCTCTCTGTCAAATAAATAAAATCTTAAAAAAAAAAAAAAATTTTAAAGTCCCATGGCAGTATGAGGGTAGAGAAGAAGTGGAAGATGGACACAGGAGCCTGGAAGATAAGCCAGAAGGATATCACAAAAGCTCCAGCTGGAAGAGCATGCCAGAGGTGCACGATGGCTCATTTCATGGGTCAACATGGCTAGGCTATGGTGCCCAGTTGTTTGGTCAAACACCAGTCTAGGGGCACCGGGGTGACTCAGTCGGTTAAACGTCTTGCCTTCAGCTCAGGTCATGATCCCAGAGTCCTGAGATCGAGCCCTGCGTCGGGCTCCCTGCTCAGCAGGGAGTCTGCTTTTCCCTCTGCCTGGTCTGCCTGCCGCTCCCCCTGCTTGTGTGCTCACACTCTGACAAATAAATAAAATCTTTAAAAAAAAAACCAGTCCAGATGTTGCTGTGAAGGTACTTTTTAAAGATGTGATAACACTTAAGTCAGTAGACTTTTAATAAAGAAGATTAATTAATTTAATGTGGGTGGGCTTCATCCAATTAGTTGAAGGCCTATGAGAAAAGACTGAGGTCCTCTGAAGAAGAAGAAATACTACCCCCAGATTGTAACATACAAATTCTGCCTGAGTTTCCAGTCTGTGACCTGCCCTGCAGATTTTGGACTGGCCAGTTCCTGCAATCTCATAAGCCAGTTCCTTAAAACAAATCTTAGTTTCTCTCTCTTTCTGCCTTAGATATGTATTCTCAATATAGATTTTGTTTCTCTGGAGAACCCTGATCAATACACAGGTTGTAGAGACAAATGAACAAGCAGAAAGTGCGAAGACAAATGAACAAGCAGAGAGTGTGAAGACAAATGGAGGTTTAAATTTGAACAAGGCTAGTAGCCATAGGAATAAAGACAAAGGACTCTAACAATTAAAGTGACAGTATTTGGAATTTCCTCTCCTAAGCCTAAGTGGAGTTCCTGTAGGGAAGAGGAACAGAGCGACAAAACAACCCACAGATGATCAGAAAATACATACGAGAACTTCTGCTCATTTATTTTTGTCCTTTTTAAAATTTCAGTTTCCCTATGCCTCACAAAATAATTATATGTATGGAAAAAGACAGCTCTAGATCAAATACATAGGAATGCATGAATATAATTTATTACTGAATATGCACAATAGTGAGGATATGTGCTCCAAAATCCACTGAGGGACAAAGGAGTTTGAAAGGAAAGGCGTAGGACACTAAGAACATGTTCGGAAAATGATGAAGCAGCCCACCCAAAGGGAGGCTTTTGTCAAGGTCCAAGCAGTTCTTATCAGTCGAGGGAGCCTGGAAGCGAACTTCAAAGCCTAACAGGAGACGCAGGCTCTGGGGGGTGTCTGGTCCGTGGTACA